GGGATTAGGATCAGGGTTTGAGGCCCATTTGAAGAAGAAGAGGGCATGGTAAGGATTGGCCTGAGATTTGATGACTTGGATAACTAGGCGTGGGTTCAGGTGAGGTGAGAATTGGTTAAGAGGGGCTGAGCTGAGGTTTGAGGGGTTAGGGTTTTGTGGGTCTAGAGTTTGCAGAAGGGAGGTTATGCAGGTCAACAGAGAGAGATTTGTAGAGGTGTGAGATGGGTTGGCTAGGACTCTAGCTGGCGTAGCCATTGATTTTCCAAAGAGCCTTCCTCCAGAGGAAGAAGATAGTGACATTGTCTCTAATTGGAGGGAACAAAAATCTCTTTTTGGCGCTTATGAATAACTTAAGCAAACATATTAATTTTGCACAAGCACTTTTAATTTACATAAGAACAACTTGGTGTTGTTAAATGAAACTAATTGGTATACAAGCACTTCCAAACATAAATTGGACGATAAGAGTTAATCTCACTTTCATTAATTCAAATAAAGTAGGCAACTGATCCTAACACATGTTATACAAGATAACTAATGCACTTAGAAAATATAATTTTTAGCATTACTTGTATTTAAAAGGAATGATATATATTACATTTTCCCCACTTTATTTACATCATGATTCTTGTGACTCGATTTGTAGAGGTGTGAGATGAGCTGCAATTGTCAAACTGCAAAGGATCACCATGTTTTCGGGGGACAAGAGCCACTTGGCGGCCGGAGTACTGTTGTGGCACCAACAGCTTTCGGAGCAATGGGAAGTAAATGGTTAGAACAGGCCATGAGGTGAAGCTGAACTCTTTCCATCTGGTCAATGGCCGAGGCAAGAGTTTCTTTAATTTCTGTGTGATCACAACAGTGTATGAGCCCTGCAGAGCTAACATGTGATGGCATCAAGCTCTTGCCCTCTAACCTAGACATCACAAGTTTGCGGCCACTTGCATGTGCTTCCTCATGAAGGCTGCCAAGCCCACAACGATCAGCAGCAGAACCTTTTGCCACTGAGTGAATGCAAATCAGTCCCTGCACTTGTTTTTAAAGCATAACAAAATGGAAGTTTAGTGTATCAGTCTGTCAAAATAGTGGTATGCTGCATTTTTCTGGTAAGTTTTTCAGAACAAAAGTGCATGCAGGATTCTAACCTCGTCAGTGCGTTTGATGTCCAATCCGAACCGCGCTTCACCAGGTTGAGGTATCAAGTCAACTAGCATTTCTGCAACTCCGGGCATGAACCACAGTCTAATGCCTTGCACTATTTGGACTGTTGTTGTTGTTGTTGTTGTGTAATTTTGTTGCCTACCCCAACTCATATCCTTTCCTATCAAATTATTCTTCTCCTTCAAGAAAAAAGAAAACAAAATCTAATTAAAACGGAGAATAAAATGGTTACTAACTTGCAATTCAAGATGACCAAAAAGAAAGATTGATACCGACGACATGATCTGTTCTGTTTGAATATTAACAAAAACAAGAGGAACCCCTGAAGCAACTGCTGCAGAAAACCAAGCCATGCACCTGGCTGTTGTGGCCTCAGTGCATTTCTCACCTGGCAGTGGCATGAACAAAATGGAGCTAACAATTGTGCACCGTTGGTCAGGCAAATAGCTACCAACTTTCATCTTCCAGTCATATTTAACTCCCCTTTTGTTATATCCTCTGTACTCCACGTTTACCAAACTCCTGCTCAATTCTGCAAACTCAAATAAAACACAGATCACTCAAGGGCACACTGGTTTCAGATGAATAAGAGTTTTCATTGTCTGATTTGTGAGGAACTTCCTTAATTGTCTAACGTTAGACAATCTAAAATGTTATGTTATTAGACCGTGAATCATAACCGCTGTCTACATGGGATCAAAACAGAATGTGCGATCCTAATTCATAGTATGACAACATAACATGTCACATATCTATCAAGAGATTGTCACTATCTTTACTATTAAAAATCTGTCAAGAAAAACCTACCCTGAAGCTCATAACATTGGTCTGAGGTCAAGTCCCCCAAAATTGCAACATGTCTGTCATCTGTAGCTGCTCTAATGGTATACCTTCTCTGAAGCATCGAAAGCCTCTCAGCCACGACACTGGTCTGGAGCTTGAGTGTGCCCTCACCCCTTCTCACCTTGACCCAAATGACCTCAACATGGCTGAACTTGGCAAGCTGTGAGGTAAGCTCTGACTTGGCTTTGGTAGGCACAAAAAACTCATCAGCAATAGTATCAATACTCTCAGAATTATAAAACCCTTCAATTATATCTCCAGGCAATGGCATGCTCTCATCCCACTCTTCTGGGTCCTCTTGTTTCACTTGTTTCACACACACCAGTGTATGAGCACTGGCCATGTCTATGTTCTTCAAAATGCAACAAATGCCACCCATAATCTTATCGATCGAATTCACTGAAGATATGTTTCATGGAGTTCTTAGGAATCTCCATCCATTTACGAACACTTCAAGGTTAATCTTAGGTTACTACGTCTTACACATTATAGTGAGGGAACTTGGCCATCCCTTTGGGGTCTATATATAATCATTATATTGAGATAGTCCCTAGACAGCCGGCTTGCCGCTATACATGGATATTGATGTGAAAAATGGATTGGGAACCAATAGACCAATTAAGAAAGAGAGTGGGTTAAGTACAAAACAAAGATCACTATAATTAATCTTATAATACAAGTCAAATATCTGCAAATGTGTAGTCATTTTCTGTACAAGTTGCTTTCAGTCTCGAGAAAATTACATTTCTTTAATACTAATAAATAATTTCTTTAAAAATTTATATGTAACCCCCTCTGCACTGCAAAACTTGGGAGAGAGGATATGTACTTCATTCACATTATGGGACAAGTTCAGCTATTTCTCTTTCAAGCCTAGAGATTTCAGCTTCAGCATGCACCCTTGTCTCTGCATCATCTGAATCTAAACTTGGTCTTAACCTTGAAATTTGCCTATTAATGCTTGTAATCTGCACATGTGATAAAACAACAAAACAAAATAGGTAGTAAAAATGAAGAAACAAAAAACTTCATAGAAAAAGATATATAGAGGAAGACAAACCTTTCTAGAAGGCCATCTACGTAATCCATTCCGGCGGCATATCCTTTTGACTACAGTTGGGCAGACATTCAATCTCCGAGCAGCTTTTTCAATGGGAAGATGGACGTAATCACGAAGATCATCCAATGTCATGTTTGCTGTTCTCTCCCTCTGCACTACTCCCCCAGCATGAAACAAATGACCAAGTTAACAAAAGAAAATATGTATGTGTACTAATGTTTATCTAATTATTGTAGGGAAAATGTAAGAGCTTTTTGTATTGAAAAAGGTTAGCAACAACCTGTTCTGCAAGGGAAATCCTAGGATTCGTCTCAATCTCATGCTCGCCAGCCTCTGGTTGAACTGCAGCAGGTTGTTCCATATCACCTGCTGTTCCTGAAATAAATAAATAAAATAGAAAATATAACTCAACCCTTTGTTTGAACATAAAATTTCCTAGATTGTACAAGTTCACAAGGCAGATAGAATACACGAACCTGAATCCAGTGGAGATGGTGGAAAATTGAAGTCATCGGTGGGGTTCAGAATGACATCCCAATCCACTCCAACGCAGAGTGCCTCATAAAAGAATGTCAATGGATCTTGCTGCATAATGTACCCCTCCAGCTTTCTTTCTAAGCAGTACTGCATCAGAAATTGCTTCACCTCCTCCCCTGGTGTCTTGCAAAAACTAATTCAAAAAAGAAAAAAAAATCAATAACACAAATCAAATCCTTGGTGCCAACCCTTCAATCTACAATGAAAAAGGGGTGCAAAAACTTACTCAAGCATTTGATATTGATGATTGCCAGAAGAGTTCACATTGGCATTGGGCCGACTCTGAAGAATTGCGTGACAGATTACACCGAGTCTTCCATGAATTTCAAGTTTCATAACATTGTCGCCTTCCATCCAATACGAAAAGCGAAATTAGAACAGTAATCAACGCTTAAATTGAATAAAACCCACAACACTAATTCTACTAATGCAAGGAAGAACACAAAACTTACTATTGAAGTGTACTATTTCCCTAAAAACTTGGCAAAAAGTACAGTTAATGGGGTCTGATGGCAGAGGCCAAACTGAAAGTGGCCTCACATTGCCAAAACCATGATTCTGTTCATTGCCATCCCCTCTTGGAGGATTAGTACCGCTCGATTCTGTGAAAATCTGCGAAGGACCCGCTTGTGAATTAATACCCTCTCCTCCATTATCAGAACCATAGATGAAATCCCACATTGCCTGATCCATTAAGGGCTCATCAACGTCTTGAATTTCTTCATCAAACATAGTTGGATTAGGGGAAGCGAGCGATCCCTCCAATGGTGGTACATTATTCTCATCAATTCTCGGATGTTCAGAATCATTCAACAAGTTCATGATCTCGGTATACGGACCGCTATCGTATGGGTCATGGTATGGTACAACAGCCCTTGGATCTGCCATGCGTAAATTATATATTTCTACAAGACTGTACGATTCTTCAAAGTCTCAACTCAATGTGAAAGGTTTTTCTCCTTTTTTTTGTTTGAGTTTTGCAAGTGGCGCGTAAAGGGAAAGCGATCTGAAGGCCTCAAGCACCAAAGTTTGATACTTTGGTGCTTGAGAGATAAATTGAAACAGGGTTTCTTTGAATTATGAAACTGGGAATGATTGAGAGGGTGCGAAGATATAGAGGAAGAAGGCGCGAGTGACAGTTTATGACCGTTTGAGACACAGTCGGTTGGGTTGGGATTTCGAAAAGTGTGCGGTTGTGATCGGGTGCTATGCGTTCCACAGTACGGATCTTATTCCTCTCCTCTGTTCGTGAAACTAAGGCCCAAGTCATTCTGAAGCCCATTTGAAAATTTGGAACGCCAGCTGTCTAAAACTCTAAAAAACAAAACACGTCAGAAAAGGTCAAAAAACGTTTTTCTTTTTCTTTATTGTTTTTGCTAAAGTGAAAAAACGTTTTAACGCCCCCAAAGACCAAATCAAGTAAAGAATTGACGAGGGTAGAAGGAAGTGAAAGTGAAATGAAAGCAGCGCTATCGACTCTGATCAGCACCAAGAATCTTCCTCCTCACCACTGCGCTTCATCTTCCTCCTCTTCTCTCTCTCGCTCCATTTGGCTGCACCCAAAGCCCCTCTCTCCTCCACCATCTTTCCTCGCCCCAATCGCACCCGCCAAGTCCCGCAGCAGCAGCAGCATCGGTCTTAGCCGCAGCTCCAAAATCCACACAGCTAATTTCTCGTCGACAATGGCCTCCGCTTACAAGCCCGAAGCAGCCAGGGTCCCGCCTGCCCTTCCCTTGCCCACCCCTCCCGTCACCAAGGCAAGCTATGTCATAATGTCTCTCTGTGTTGTTGTATTGTTTACAGATTGGAGGTTGAATTTGAATTGGGTTTTTTATGTGGGTGAGTGCAGTTTAAGATTGGACTGTGCCAATTGGCGGTGACGGCTGATAAGGAGAGGAACATTGCCCATGCCCGCAAGGCCATCGAGGACGCTGCTGCAAAGGGTGCCCAGCTTGTTCTCCTCCCTGTGAGTTTTTTTACCATGATCCCTCTTACTAAATCCTTATCCTTGTGTGTTTTTCTGTTGTGTGCTCATTGACCTTACTGGTTTAAGTTTATTATGGATTACAATTAGCCTGCCCATTGCTTCTTTAAGTAGGAGAATATGTTTGGATACGGATGTTTTTCAGATAAATCAAGTTTTAGATGCCCATAGGACAGTATAGCTCGAGGTCTGTATTGCTTATCATGCTTCCACAAGACATTAGCGTGGAAGCATATGCCATAGAATGTGTTGGAAATTCATCCATTGATAAGTTCACTTATTGTCGGCTACAAAGATTGGATACTTTACCACTTTACCTCAACTGAGCCAAAAACCCAAGAAAGTCCTATAAACTAGGTATCGTTTTTATTCATTGTACCAACTAAACAGAGATTTTAACATCAAAAGGAGGCGTGGAGGTATACAAGAACAATTATATGTTGAAGAAGCCGTCCTAATCAGATCAAATGGTGCTTATAAACTCACCTTTTAAGTAAAAAAAACGGTTAAGAAGCTGACCTAATCAGAGCAAATTGTTATTATCAACTCATTTTTAACTCTTTGGCCTCAAGTTGTGTTTGCTTCTTTGTTTACCAGGAAATTTGGAATGGTCCATATTCAAATGATAGCTTCCCGGTTTATGCTGAGGACATTGATGCGGGTGGTGATGCATCTCCTTCAACAGCCATGCTATCTGAAGTTTCTCAGCGTTTGAAGATCACCATTGTTGGCGGATCTATAGCAGAGCGTTCCGGGGATCATTTGTACAATACTTCTTGTGTCTTTGGCACCGATGGGAAGCTGTTAGCTAAACATAGGAAGGTAATGCTGTAAGCCTAAATAATGGGGTAAGTGATAATACCATCTAGTGTACCAACACAGACCCACCCAAGGAATGTGACTGTTTCTTGGACTTATCTGTATCCAGCTCAATGAATAGGATCAATCAAAATCTGGACTGTTTATTGTGCATGGGGCCTGCCCCAACACAGGAGGCCTACTGTCTTGGATGGTCTGGACTGAAAAATTGCTCACTTCATTTTAATGAGGATACTTTTCCTTTGATTGAACGAACCTTCATGTTTGATGGTTTGAACATTTAATGCTTAGCTGTCAAAGGAAATTATTTGTCAGTCTTTGCTTCTTACTGATTCTGGATGTAATCACAGATACACCTATTTGATATTGACATCCCTGGGAAGATTACGTTTATTGAATCAAAGACTCTTACAGCAGGGCAGAGTCCTACCATTGTGGACACAGGTATAATGCTCATTCTGTGCAGTAGTGACAATTACAACTTCTTCTTTTTTTGGTCAAAGTCAAGTGATGTCATTTGTTCCTATTCCTTGCTTGAAAGTTGTTATTATCATTCATTATGGATGCAATGGTAACCATCAAATGCTTCGTGCAGAGGTTGGACGTATTGGCATAGGTATCTGTTATGACATTAGGTTTCAGGAACTAGCAATGATTTATGGAGCAAGAGGTTTGCCTTTTCTTTTGCTTTCCATGGACATGTGAAATTAATTTTTGTTTCCATTGTTTCTGGGCATTACTAAACTAATAAAATTAATGGTTTTTCTTTCTGTAATCAGTATCATGATAATTCTTTATTGTTATACACAACTATTTAGATTTAATAAATTCCAAATACATATGATCTGCCACAGGATTCTTCATTACATGTTAACTAATGTACTTATTATTGATGAGGAAGTGGAATTATCTCTCGTTTGTTTATTCCTTTTCAAGTGAAGGACTGTAATTTCTGCAGTTGGAAATACTGAATGGTAACAGTATTAAGTTGTTGACATCAGGTGCTCACTTGATATGCTATCCTGGGGCTTTTAACATGACTACTGGACCGTTGCACTGGGAATTATTGCAGAGGGCAAGGTATCAATTAAAATATTGCGTAATTTATATTCTTTTGAATTTTTACATCCCAATTTTTTACATAGTAATTTTCACTGAGATTCGCCTTGCTATGTCTTGTGCAGGGCTACAGATAACCAGGTATAACATATGTCCTATATGAGATGTACATCCTGGTTTACATTTGTTAATAAACTTAGAGCTGGTATCATGATACAAACAGCAGTTTGTGATAGATTACATGGCTAGAAGCATAGTCAAGACTTGAGTCACTATTTTATTCCAATTACTGTGTTGATTATCGTCTTCCGTGTTAATTCTAACGATTTCTCATGGATGGCTTTCTGTGGGTTGTCAGCTATATGTGGCAACCTGTTCGCCTGCTCGAGATGCTGGAGCCGGTTATGTGGCATGGGGCCACTCCACCCTAGTCGGACCAGTAAGTGGATACTAACTTTTAGCTATATAAAGCATGCTTCCGTTGGATCTTTAGTAGATCCATTCATTGGCAAGTTCTCCCTTTCTACATTTTAGTGATAACACAAGGTTCAGCATTTAGATACTTGTTGAAGCTTTTGCGATTGCAAGTAATTTGCATACAGAGTATCACTAAAAGAATTAAATGTGGCAGTTTGGAGAAGTACTGGCGACTACAGAACATGAAGAGGCAATAATCATAGCAGAGGTTGATTATTCACTTCTTGAGCTTAGACGGTGAGATACAGTTTCCAACCAAGTTTTTTTTTTTACTTAGATTTACAGATGAAATATTTTTTCAATACTTTATATAAGTATTTAAAACAAGTGTGTTCCAAATTATGCAGGACAAACCTGCCCTTACTGAAGCAAAGACGAGGTGATCTTTACCAATTGGTAGATGTTCAGAGGTTGAATTCTCAATGATTACAGATGGGTAGAAGATTCCTATTATGCCTGAAGGAAGTGCCAGTGAGAAACCACATGTTTTACTTTTAGAACAAATAAAGAGACCATGTTATTATCGAAGACTCCAATTATTGTCATTGTACCGAGATACTTGGATTTGCTGTGCATTTCTTTGTCTATGTTTTGATAACAAAGGTGCTTTTATGTGGAGATGATGATGCATGTTCATGCAGCGCAGCATATACTTTCAATTATGCAACATAATAATAATAATGATCAAGTAATAATATGCACATTGTTAACAAACTTAAACCTGACCGGATCTTATTAAAACCCAGTTTCAATACTATAGTGGTAAGAAAGTCGAGTGAATTTTATTGAACATTAAGAAGAGAAATACCACTAAATCAAGATAGTGTTAACAATATAACAATTGATCGGTCACATTCTTGTATAAGGGAGGCAATCTTCCCTGCAAAGAATAATTTGATGTCGAAGCTTCTTTATTGTGGTCAAAGATTGATGTCGAAGCTTGAACTGATGTTTGCTCTGTGCTTCGTTGCAACTTGCAAGGTGGGGTTTTTGGAGCAAGCAGGAGGAGGGGTGTAGGACCTCTGCTGCTAAAACAGTGTTGGGCCCTGAAATTGAATAGGGAGAGAAGAAGAATTGCAGAAGACCATAAATGAGAGAGGCCCATCAGGCAATGAAGTGTGCAAGCAAACTGTGCACGTAAAGATGGAGACCCCAGGTAGGAAAGCAGCTAAGTGCACGTGGGTACAGCATGGCAATGTACAAAATTAGCCTTAGTCGTCATCACCTCTCTCTCTCTCCCTCTCCCTCTCTCTCTTAGGAGGCAGAGACACAAACCACAGAGAGACAGAGAAAGATGAGAGAGGAAGTTGGCTTGTCAGGAAACTCACAGAGTAAATCAGAACCCAGTAGAGTAATATTACAATGCCATGCCTGCCAAATAAATATGCTGCCAATGCTTTGTTGGGAAAAGAAAAGAGCACAGTTTGTGTCTCCCTCTGTCTCTCTCTTTCTTTCTTGTTCACTGTTCTCCTCACAGGAACCATCTTCTTCTTCACCCCCTTCGGATCCCAACAGCACATCTCTTTCACAACAAAACTAGTGCATGTTTGCCGTGATCTAGATAAAGTCACTTCATACTTGCCCAAAAATGAAAAATGAAAAATAAATAAAAAAAGACAGCTCTTTCATATCCGTAAAAGTGTTTTTTATTTGTATAATTTTCTAAGACTTGTTGCAGTTTTCTTTCACCTACCCATATTTATGGCATGTTAACTCATCTGTAATTGAATTAGGAGAAATTAAATTGAGAATGATTAGATTCCGGATTCCTATTGAAGTTGTTTACTAAATCACATGGAATTGGGGTATGATTGATACTAATTACTAAAATGTCCTCGTTGTTGGGTTAAAGTAGTTGGCAAATTTGAAATTTTAAAAATTGTGTGAGGATATAATGGGTAAAAAAGATGAATTCCTAATGGGTTAGTTCTCCAGCAATTAGAATATCACCTCCCACCTAAAAATTAAATTCCTCCAAAATCAGGAATTCAATTCCTAATTTTATGTGGGCCCCACTTACTTTTTAATTCCTTAATGTGAAGTAAACGTTGAAATCCTCCATAAGTGGAATTCAATTCCTGATGAGACAGAGAATTCAGATTCCTAATTAGTAAACACACCATTTAATGTAATTTAACATCCATTACTAATCCCAAACATATTACAGTTCATGGACACATAAGGAAATGATTTTGGAAGGATGCTAAATATATATGAACGTTTACGAAAAGAAAAATGCTAGGGAGACCAACTTGGGATACCAACTTGTGTACCAACTCTCTAATAGAGCGTGGAGACCATGTTATTATCGAAGACTCCAATTATTGTCATTGTACCGAGATACTTGGATTTGCTGTGCATTTCTTTGTCTATGTTTTGATAACAAAGGTGCTTTTATGTGGAGATGATGATGCATGTTCATGCAGCGCAGCATATACTTTCAATTATGCAACATAATAATAATAATGATCAAGTAATAATATGCACATTGTTAACAAACTTAAACCTGACCGGATCTTATTAAAACCCAGTTTCAATACTATAGTGGTAAGAAAGTCGAGTGAATTTTATTGAACATTAAGAAGAGAAATACCACTAAATCAAGATAGTGTTAACAATATAACAATTGATCGGTCACATTCTTGTATAAGGGAGGCAATCTTCCCTGCAAAGAATAATTTGATGTCGAAGCTTCTTTATTGTGGTCAAAGATTGATGTCGAAGCTTGAACTGATGTTTGCTCTGTGCTTCGTTGCAACTTGCAAGGTGGGGTTTTTGGAGCAAGCAGGAGGAGGGGTGTAGGACCTCTGCTGCTAAAACAGTGTTGGGCCCTGAAATTGAATAGGGAGAGAAGAAGAATTGCAGAAGACCATAAATGAGAGAGGCCCATCAGGCAATGAAGTGTGCAAGCAAACTGTGCACGTAAAGATGGAGACCCCAGGTAGGAAAGCAGCTAAGTGCACGTGGGTACAGCATGGCAATGTACAAAATTAGCCTTAGTCGTCATCACCTCTCTCTCTCTCTCTCTCCCTCTCTCTCTTAGGAGGCAGAGACACAAACCACAGAGAGACAGAGAAAGATGAGAGAGGAAGTTGGCTTGTCAGGAAACTCACAGAGTAAATCAGAACCCAGTAGAGTAATATTACAATGCCATGCCTGCCAAATAAATATGCTGCCAATGCTTTGTTGGGAAAAGAAAAGAGCACAGTTTGTGTCTCCCTCTGTCTCTCTCTTTCTTTCTTGTTCACTGTTCTCCTCACAGGAACCATCTTCTTCTTCACCCCCTTCGGATCCCAACAGCACATCTCTTTCACAACAAAACTAGTGCATGTTTGCCGTGATCTAGATAAAGTCACTTCATACTTGCCCAAAAATGAAAAAAGAAAAAGAGCCCATGCTTTCTCACGTGGTCTACGAGTGCAAATGCACGTTTGGGTCCCACAAAACTTAATAATGTTTACTGCCAACGTGTACATTACGCTTGGAATTGCTCTATTTACCGCAGACAAAAAGTTTCTTGAGAAGCTGGGCTTCCTCTGTGGCCAGATATTTTCTGCTACTGTTCATAACCTGCTCTATCTATTTATGTTGATTCAAATTTTATTTGTAGTTTCGATTCATATCAACATTGTATGAATACAATCGAAATACTAATTATCTCTTAGTATAGCGGTACTTCTCTTCCCAATATCCGAAGATGTTCCCCTTTTCTCTCCGAGTAATTAAAATATGTAATCACGATGAGTTTATAACATGAAAGACGCCTGGAAATTATGCAATAGCAAGAATTAAAGCTGTGGGTCTCACTTTAAAGCCACATTGAGCAAGGTTCCCCATTTGTAGCACTAGTCAAGTTCAACGAAGGTGACCTGTTGGCATATTATTTCTCAGCTAAAAATAAAATGCATTGGTCTGGGCAAAGTCCAAAACAGAGGGCCTACATAATATTTAATCTGTCAAAGATCCATGTCCATCAAATTGCGAAAGTACATAAGATGATTGTCTAATTGTTGGTGGAAGCCACCTTACATGTATCTTATTTTAACCCTAAACCAAAATGGCAGGGATACTGTTTGAAACCCGATTAAGGGACCAAATCAAAGACCTTTCTTTGTCTTTCCACTTTATATCATAAGCTGAGGGTGCATAAAAGGCTATGGATGTTGCAGACATCATAGCCCATGTCCTGGGATGGATGAACATGAACAAACCAAAATGGGAAAATCATGTGATCTTGGCTAGGGTTTTGGGGGCAGATCCTTGGTGGTTGCCATGTAGTTTAAGGCGTTGGTGGGGTTTGTTTGGATCTTGATGTAAGTCGAAGCCATCCTTTTCAGTCTAGTTAATGATTTTGTTTGTTTTAGCGACTGGGAAACAAGAAATGCAAGTGGTATATCTCCTGCATTTGATAACCCGAATTTTACCACTTACTAATTCATGTATCTTGCAGACATGGTTATTGTCAGTGCTTCTGGGTAGGGTTTAATCAATTAAATGCATGTCTAACCCCCATTTATCATGTATTTCAAGGGAGTTTTCGTTAGAATAAAACGTACTCATGTTTCTCATGTTTCTCATGTTTCTCGTGTTTCTCGTATTTCTCGTATCAGTAATATAATATAAGAAAAGAGGTGCGTAACATCTTCAGCTCTTTCATATCCGTAAAAGTGTTTTTTATTTGTATAATTTTCTAAGACTTGTTGCAGTTTTCTTTCACCTACCCATATTTATGGCATGTTAACTCATCTGTAATTGAATTAGGAGAAATTAAATTGAGAATGATTAGATTCCGGATTCCTATTGAAGTTGTTTACTAAATCACATGGAATTGGGGTATGATTGATACTAATTACTAAAATGTCCTCGTTGTTGGGTTAAAGTAGTTGGCAAATTTGAAATTTTAAAAATTGTGTGAGGATATAATGGGTAAAAAAGATGAATTCCTAATGGGTTAGTTCTCCAGCAATTAGAATATCACCTCCCACCTAAAAATTAAATTCCTCCAAAATCAGGAATTCAATTCCTAATTTTATGTGGGCCCCACTTACTTTTTAATTCCTTAATGTGAAGTAAACGTTGAAATCCTCCATAAGTGGAATTCAATTCCTGATGAGACAGAGAATTCAGATTCCTAATTAGTAAACACACCATTTAATGTAATTTAACATCCATTACTAATCCCAAACATATTACAGTTCATGGACACATAAGGAAATGATTTTGGAAGGATGCTAAACATATATGAACGTTTACGAAAAGAAAAATGCTAGGGAGACCAACTTGGGATACTAACTTGTGTACCAACTCTCTAATAGAGCGTGGAACCCATTGTATTGGTGGGCTCCACCTCTATTAGAGACTTGGTACACAAGTTGAAAAATATACGAATGAGTTAGCTTACTACAACTCATTCAATGTCTTTTGCCTACCTAAGCACGCAAAAGCATTTAATTCTTTACTTTTTTACATATAGATATTTAGCTCGTAAGACCAAATCTACAAAGGGCATCATCCTACGGTTGGTGTTTGTACAAATTAAGAGCAGTGTAGCGTCATCTTATTCCTCCCACAGAAAGAATAAAATTTTAATCAAAGGAGGTCATAAGTTTATGACTCGGATGGT